CCTTAGGAGGCGGTTGGAGGGAATACCCTGACTACTCAGCAGCAGCATAAAAAAGTAGGAACCACTTTCAGTGGTTTTGTGAAATCATTTCCTTGGCATTTTTTATAGTATCTGAAAAGTAACCAGAAATGTAAAAATATTTTAAATGCTTCATGAGACAAATTGTTTTGACTATTTGAAATGTTATCATTTTCACTTAATCTGAAACTTTTTTCAATTTTGTCCAAATTTTTAAAGCTTCAAATACCATCTCTTGCTACTCTGTAGCAAGAAAATATCCCCAGAATTTCCAAAATTATAAATAACAAGATTGCTCTACAAAGATCCAAAGTAGAGTTATATCTGTTATGTACTAAATCATCATTAATAACCTTCCATAGCAAGATGTTCCTCTCTAGACTGTTTTTCCAGTTTCACTTTAGTTTCCACTAATCATCACCAAATGCTATCTACCTTGGTGTATAATTTTAATTTTCTATCCTTTGCCTTTCCTTGCTAGAAGCAAGGCACAGATGGCTCTGAACTTATCTGTCCACTTTGACTCTCTTGCAGGCTCACCAATTTACAGTGATCACTCTTCTAAGAAATGTAATATATAAATAGAAGAGACACCACATGAAATTTAAATTTAACCCTGTGAAGAAAGTTGTCGTTTATTGTGGGGAAAAGAATAATAAATGAGGTCCATTTTCATGATCATAGATATCAGAAAACAGATTTAGCTTTAGACTGTCTACACTGACTTTATTTAGCAGTGTGCACTGATGACCTATGTCCTTCTGAACTGCTAGAACAGGAAGCATCAAGCAGGGCCACTTTGTACCCCCCTAAAGCAGAATGGAGCCTGCCAACAAGAGAGACCTTGTAGGTCCAGCCAGTACCACAACCCAGACCCAGTCCCCAGCTGGAGGAAGATATGAATCAGCTTCTCAGAGCTTATCAGCCACATCTTCTCTGTGCAAGACATGATGCAACACTACATATGTCCTTCTCTCACTCTTTAAATGTGGTGGGAAACATGAACCTGCACAAAACTAAATCTTATCTTTCCAAAAATCCTAGATGAAAAAGAAAAACCTGCAATGAAAAAGAAAATCCTACCATATGTTTGTCATATATAGTTACGACAACAAGGAGAAAACCCTAATAAAATGCAGTAAGCCTTGAAATGTTGCTCAATAAGCATTAAAAGGAACACCAAGTTCCCAGGCTCCTCTAAATCTGTGCTGTTTTCATGCCTTGAATTACCACTATCAGTCCCAACTCATGAGCTGATTCTGCTGAGATGGCCACCAAAGGCATGATGGAATATCTGAGAGCCCACCACCCACATCCACTGGCCAGCCTGCCACTATGGCCATCTCCTTCTGGACATCGAGCAGATAAATTCTTCTCTTCCACTGCTTTTTCTCTAAAGTGGTCTTTCTCTTTTACCTTGTGGTAAATTTCACAAAAAATGTCAAGAAGGTATTACATCTAAATTATATTTCTACCTACCCACCCTTCCATCCTGTAGTTACCCTCAAAGTGTATGCAAAAAGGCCAGCATCCCACTAGCTGGAGCTGTGGTTCTCCCTGCACAGCAGACCCTTGGGAGATGTATTGAGTTCACAAGGTCATGTTTTGGTAGTGGGGGAGCTTTAAGGGTGGTTACTCTGAGAAACTACTAGAAGCTTCTCCTGCATCCAACAAAGCCAATGTCAACTGGCTCCTCCAAGATGGACCCACTTCCGGCCAAGGCTGAGTCCATCAGCCATGGTAGTAATGTTAAATGGAAAAGTTATTGGTAGAGAAGTAATTGCGGACAGAGAAGACAGAAGTGAGAATATGCGAGAGAATCAACACTGCAGACACCAAGGCCAGCAAAGAAGGAAGGTGCTCCAGGTGCCACAGAAGAGATACATTTGCAGCTCATGATGAACACCATAGTGAGGCAGGCTCTCTCCCTGCAGCGTTCAGAGTTCCACACGGGCTCCACCTGCAGATCCTGGGGGAGCCCCACATGACAGCAGGTGGATGCATGAAAAAATGTTGTGACTTTGTGACTCTATGAGAAACCCACACTGGAGCAGGCTCCTGGTAGGACCTCTTGCCCTGTGGAAAGAGGAGTCCTTGCAACCTGGTTTCTTGGCAGAACTTGTGACTTCACAGGGAACACACACTGGAACAGCTTTTTCTTGAAGAACTGTAAGTCACAGAAAAGTACCCACACTGAAGCAGTTTGTGAAGAACTGCAGCCCATGGAAAGAACTCATGCTGAAGGAATTAATGGAAGACTCTCTGCTGTGTGAGGGACTCCAGGCTAAGGCAGGGGAAGGACTCCTCTTCCTGAGGAGGAAGCTGTGCAGAAATAACATGTGATAAACTGCCTGTAATCCCCATTTCCATCTCCCTGCTGTGGGAAGGAGGTAAAGAATGAGGAACAAAGTTACATCTGCGGGGGAAGAAGTGGGGGGGGGGGGGGGGGGGGGGAAGTATTTTTAAGATCTGTTGTATTTTTCATTATCTGACTCTGATTTTGACTGGTAATAAGTCCAATTAACTCCTCCAAGTACCATTATAGCAATCAGTGAGCGATCTCCCCCTGCTCTTATACAAACTCATGAGCCTTTCATTACTTTTTGTTTTTCCCTGTCCACTTGAGGAAGGGAGTGATAGAGAGGCTTCGTTGGATGCTTGGCAACCAGATATGTTAAACCACCACAGGAATCCATCCAGTCTTCTACCCTCATCTATCCTAGGTACAGAGCACTCATTCATGGCAATCAAGATTTTGGCTGCACCTCAAGCAGGACTTTTGGCAAGGCCTTGGAATCAGCACAATTCATGCTCCAAGTGCTGTTTTAGTCCCACGTGTGTACCATGCTCCTCTTCACTCAGCAGCACTTCTGTCCCACATGCACTGGGGAGTAGCTGGGTACGTTTTCTACAGATGAATGTCATTTCCAGTGAGCATTTTACCTCACAAAATCCAGCAGCTGAGAAGCTGTGCAGCTCCTGCCTGAGGCAGCTGTCCCACACCACCACTTCCAGCTTGCCTGGGTCCCTCACAGCTACGAGGGGCTGGTGACTTGTTGTCGTGCTTTGACACGGAAAAAGAATTTTCTCAGAAGGAAGAGGTCAATTTGGATATTGACCAACTGAAGGTGGACACGCCTCTGAGAACACAGAGGGGTTAAAAGCAGAATTCCCAGGAGAACTTGCTCTCTTTGGTTCTGGTCAGCGTGCAGTGCAGCCTCTCCCCTGCCCGGTGACGAGCTGGGTGGGGGAGGGGAGAAGCCATGTGGCCTTTGGAGCTAGGCCCAAGGGTGGAGGGACTGGAACCGGGCTGGCCCCCTGCAGATGGAAGGGTGGAGAAATCTGGGATGTCTCCGTTCCCCCCCCCCCCCACCCAGAGTCGAGAGAGAGAGAGAGAGAGAGAGAGAGAGAGAGAGAGAGACAATGGCAGTTTTGTCAGGAATACGCCGTGGGGAAGGAGAAGAGCGGGGGGGCCATGGGTGCCCAGTCGGGCGGTGGGAGCTGGAGCCTGGGCAGCGAGCCATCCTTGGGAGTCGGGTCTTTTAACCCTTCCTTGAGAAATGAAGGCTTTGTGAAATTTTTCTCCTCCTCGGTTTGAAAGAGAGGAAGAGAGACAGCTTGGACCCTGGGATGTTAGAAGGAGAAATTCTAGGTGGGAGGAGATGATGGAGTGGCTTTTGGCTGGACTTTTCCTTGGTAGCCACAGACTGAACCGATCTTCTCCTCCAAGTGAGACTGTATTTTAGGAGGATGCCGGTGAGCCAAAGAGACCATGCTTCAGCTGGGAAAAAGACAGAAGTGGAGTGAACAGAGAAAAGTTAGGGAGGTTTGTGGTGGTGCCCCCTGCCTTCAGAGAAGACAAAGAGAAGAAGATCTCTGTTCTTGGATCCTTGGCCGCAGGGGAAAATGGGGGGGGACTGTGCTCCCAAAAATGAAAAACTAAACTGTTGTTTTTTCCCCTCTTGGCAGGGCATCCTTGAAAGGAAAAAATCCTAAAAGCAGTCTATCCATCCATGCATTGGTGGTGAGAGCACTGTGTAAGGAAAGGAGAGGGTCACCATTGGCAAACTTTTTTCTCCGGGTGGTGCCATGTGGTGACATGGAAGCACAGGATGTGGCAGCTGTGTTTCTTGGGGGGTCTGTGGCACAGGAGGAGCTCCTCTCTCTCTCGATGGACTGAGTATCAATTGTCTGGAGGGTGGAAACCTGATTGGGGTCCAGGCTGTGTCTCACTGTGGTTTGTCGGATTTGGGTGGTGGGAGGAGGAATGCATTGGAAGGTTTTCATTTTGAATTTTGTGTGTGTTTTTCCCCCTCCTTTTTCCTTTTATAGTAGTAGTAGCTTAATAAAGTTGTTTTTTTCTTTTCCCTTGTTATTAAGCTTGGGCCTGCTTTGGTCTGTTCTCGATTGCATTTCACAGCATACAGTTGGGAGACTGCATTTTCATGGGGGCACTGGCATTGTGCCAGTGTCAAACAATGACACCTGTGAGGCTGACCCCTCTCTCTGGGGAAGGCCCAGGTCTGCAGGACCCTGCTTTGTTCTCTTGCTCTGCCCTCCCCACCAAGGGAGGATGCTCTTTCTGCTAACCCCCTCAGGAAGGCTATGCCACACTTTTCCTGCCCTCTCCCGGGGTCCAGTCACCAAGTCACCACTGGTGGGACAGTGACAGTGCTCATCAGTGACTGTCCCTTGGCTGCTGTCTGGGCCCCGAACCCCACTGGGGCAGTGTTTGGGTTGTTCAGTGGCTGAAGGCCAATGCAGGCATGGCAGCGGGCTGGCAGGAGGTGAGGGATGCCTTTTGGAGCACTGGGAGGTTCTGCCCAAGAGCCCCTGCAGCTGACTCAGCTCTGAACCCCTAGCCTGGGGCATGCTCAGGGAGCCCACAATGGACAGACTGCTCAGATGTGACAGATTTTTCACAGAGTCAAAAGGAATGTTTCATGGCAACATAGCATGGAACTCTTAGAAATGAGGGGATCTTTTCCTTTTCAGTTGCATTTTTTATTTGCTGAATTCTTTCCAGAAAATCATCTTTGCTATGTACAGCAAATGCATACATCTGTATTTACAAAATTTTCTATGATATTCTTGCAAAATTGCTATTCAGTTATGATAAATATATGCAATCTTTATCATATCTGGTACTGATATTTAAAAACCTGACACTGCAGTGGAAAAAAGGATGGATTGTACCAGCCAAAGCAGTACTAATTTCATGTGTCCCATTAATGATATCCACAAGGGATCTTCAACACATGCTTCTGGCTACCTCACTGTCCCACAGTGACTGCAACAGTGGTAAAGCTCACTCAATGAGCAGAAGATCCACTGAAGATTTGCTGAAGAGTCAAGGCTAGGTAAAACTAATTGCATTTATTATAAATATTCCTATATTCATAGTGAGTCAAATACTGACTCAGTAAAAATTTTGGCTGAATTAAGTCACATTCTGCTCTTTTTTAAGACAATAACTTCTAACTAATTTCTGAAACTATATATATATGCATATTTGAGCTGGTAAATGTATTCCTAAGAAATCTTTGCTAGCGGTAGCTAAATGCAAAGAAATGCTTCATATTTTGTCACCATTCGCATCCCAACAAATTGTGTTGGAATAATTGCAGTTTTATCCAATTAGTTGCCTTTTAAAAAGTAGAGTGTGAATTTCAGGTAGAAAGAGGCAACCTTTCACAAAGAGATATTCATCAGGTTATCAGCTTTGTTGGATTCCAGCATCTGAATCCTGTGCCAACCAATGAGAGGAAACTCTAGTAAAGCTTCACTCTTTGCTCAGAATAGCACTGGGCAAAGATTTACAAGACCAAGCACCTCAGCCCAGCTATGTCAGCAGTCCTGAGCCTGTTTTTTCATTCTGCAGTTTGCATTCCTTGTCATGCTTTGCTCAAATGCTATCTCTTTGGGTTAATATTGTCACAATGTGACCTGTCTGCAAAATTAGCACAGTGGAGAGCCACACTTCACTAGGATTTCCAGGTAGAAGTAATTAAAAGAAACAATTATTAACAATAAATGTAAGAAAGAGTGTAGAACCTTATTCATTTACTTAACATTTTGGGGATATTTCAGTGTTGTAGGACAGATGAGATGCAATTTTTCCTTACACAACGACAAGGGTTCCTCTTTAAACTTCACTTTATAATTCCAAGAGGATGCAGTTTAGAAGAGCATTAAGAGGAGTGAATAAGGTTTTAGTTTTACACAGGACAGTATTATTCCTTTAACTAAATTAGTTTCCTGAAAAGAGGTGTAGATCATTGGATCTCATTTAGAGGCACAGAGAAGCTCAGATTACTTGCTGTCACATGCACAGTGACATTGGTTTGGGTTTCTTGGTGAGAAGAGTCCTTCAGTACTAATGTTGTTCAAATTGTGTTATATAGTAAAAGATGATCCATTGTCAGTCAGAATTTCACTAGTCTGTCTTGAATGATAAGTATCAGAGTTTGTCCTTGAATTACGTTTATTGTCTTTCTTGTGCCTCTTGCACCATAAGTCTTTCATTAGCTTCACAAAATAACTTCTGAACTTCACTCCAATAAACGCATAGAGCACAGGGTTCACACAACAGTGTAAAAATGCTATGGCTTCAGTGGTGTATTTTGCATAAGCCATTATCTTGTCATTGTCACAAGATTTGTCAATCTTGCCCATGTTGACAGCTGTTATCAGAAGAACAATGTTATAGGGTACCTGGCAAATTAGGAAAACAGCTACAATTAATACAATCACACGAATTGCTTTGTTTCTTTTGGAATTCTGAGCTTGTTGTAAGGATTTGACAATGAAGGTGTAGCAAAAAATCATGAATATGAAAGGTATAAAAAATCCAAATGCAACTTGTAGCCATAACAGCAGCGATTTCAGCATCGTGCTTTCAGAAATCCTGCCAAATCTGTGGTCACAAATCTCTTTGGTTTCATTAATGGAGAAGCTGTAACTTTCACTGTACAGAAAAGAGGGACTAGAGATTAGAATTGATGATATCCACACAGCCAAACAAATGAGTTTACTATGTGCGAGAGTCCTTGCCCTGAGTTTAAAAGACTTTGTTGCCTGTACGATAGCAATATACCGGTCCACGCTGATAAAGGCCAAAAGCAGCATGCCACAGCTGAAGTTGATTGCATAGATACCTCTAGTCATTTTGCAAATGAAATCACCAAAAATCCATTCATCAGTGGCGTAATTCATTGCCCACAGTGGAAGAGTAAGAACAAACAGTATGTCTGCTATGGCCATGTTGAAGAGGTACACATCCGTCATGGACTTGGCTCTTTCATATAAAGCGAAGGTCATCACCACAAAGATGTTACCAAAGAGGCCGATGATACAAATCAATGAATATGCAACTGGCAGAAATGCTTTTGTGAAATTCCTGACTTCCTGCTTAGAACAAGGCGATGTGATCAGATTAACATAGTCTGAATAGTAGGGGTAATCTGTGGAATGAAGGTCTGTCTGTGGAAAAGGAGAACACCAGTTAACACACAGATGTTAACTTTAATCCCTGTGTGGTAGAAACGTGATAGGTAACTGACCACACATTCCAATTACAAATGCATTTAACACTACAGACAAGGCTTGTAAGAACTATCTAGGAAATTTCATAAAATCATACTTCAAATACAAATGTGGAAATAATCCTTTTGGATGTCCCAAAGACCTTCATATTTAAATGCATTGTGCAGAAAGGACAAGTCTGCTGTCACAGACAGCTTGTCTCTGTAAAAGTCTGAATTTGAATTTGGGGCCTAGTCTTCCTTTACCATCACACAAGGCAAACAGGCCCTTATAACATGCTATGCATTTCATACTAATGTAGCTTGATTAAATCAAGCCCAAAAATGATTACTTCTCTCTACTCAGCTAGAATGCCAGTCTGTGATATCTAGCCTGAGACACATTTACCTGCACCACAAAAACCACACCTGTAGTGAAAATCCAATAAAGAGTGCTTTGACAGCAAACTCTGCTGTCAGAAACATCTCTTCAGATTTTCACTCCTGAAATTACAGTGTTTGGATCTGCAACCTCAAGGATCTGCGTCATACAGTCATTGCTTTATTGATATACTAACATAGTTTATCAATTAGGTACTTACAAAATTCATTTTGGCAGTACACTTCTCAGAAAAATATGCTCAGAAGGATCTCAAAATATTTTCCTAAGTATTTCTGAAAAGACAATAAAGTAGATTGGATCAGAAAACCAGCACAAGTGCTGAAGTAGAAAAACAAAATTGAAAATAAAACCTACTCAAAACAAAATCTCATCACTGTTAACAAATGTTAACAAATCACACATCTCTACAAAATGTGCAGCTGTAGAAAGTGAATGGTTTTTATCAGTATTATTAAGAGCAGACATATATTGAATGTTTATTCATAGGCTAATAAATGATATATATGAGAATATGTGACTGCTATTTCACATTGAATTTGCACACAAGAAATTAGAACAAATTAAATTTTACTTTGAGAACTTCTGTATGACATTGGCAATCCATGTATTGAGGGAAATACAGAAAATATAAACAGCACTCCCTTAGTATACTTCATAATAGCAATGCAACAATTTACCCTTTTTTCCCACTCTGACCCTTTATCAGTGACCCTTTAACAGAACTTTCAACATAACATTATTTGTCCTTTTTTATTACACGAGTGAAGTAATAGAAGAGCAGCAGAATAATATCTTACAGTGCAAAGGATAGTACACAATGTATGAACAGACTGAGCATTCGTGTTTTGTCTTTGTTCAGTGCGCAGATTTACTGTGCAGTGTTCAGTGTGCAGTTCAGACAGCACCCTATGAAAAAAATTTTTTTTCTTTATGACTGTGATACCTAACTGTTTTACAGATAGGGCTTACTTAATTTGCACAACACTCTGTGGTGAAGAAGTATTACCACTTTTATTTAAAAGGGAGAACCTGAGTCATTAGAGTTAAGTATCCACTTATGAGGTTTGAGACAGTATCCCCCTCAACATCACTTCTAAGAGTACTTAAAATTATGAAGGACTTCACTTAGGTAAAAGATTAAATCCATTGACTGTTTGCATCCAGGATCAGACTTCTGCAAATCAGATCACAGAGTCTAAAGTCACAAAAAAAAAAAAAAATGGGGAACCTGTCATTGGTGAGCACACACAGGAAGTTAGGCTTAGATAACTTGTTCAACCTCACACAGGAGCTCATGGGCGAGAGATTTCATTCCTCAGACTCCCCTTGCATGAGTTCAGCCCTTCCCTTCTTTCCATTAGCTGTTCTCTGACAGCTGCACCAATCAGCAAGCCAGTAATTTCAGGGACAGGATGACATGAGGTCCCATATTTGTCAAGGTTGTGAAGGACAGTTTTATCTCAAGTTTTTCTGCTTTTTGCTAGTTGTGCTACCAATTGGGAAGAGCATATGAGTCAGCTTTAAGTCTACAAAACCAAAACCTTTTTGTTTGGGAATTACCTAATGTTGAAAATGAGAGAGAAATAATTTGTAAAAGTGGGGCAGATGAAGTCCAGATACAATGGGGAAACTGGGGGAGGGAAAGGACAGAACACTCTCCAAAAGCATAATGAGAATGACTCATGTGGGGTTGCTGACTGATGACAGAGGGCTGCAGCTGGGTAAAGACCTGAACTATATGATGTAGCTAAGGCATCACAGCTTATCTTGATTTCCTGCCCTTTAAACAAATCTTTAATTATCTCTCCGCCTTCATCTGCTGGCTTTTTAAAACTGATTTTTAGAAGCTGCAGGAATATGACAGCCTGAAAGTACTTTAACACCTTCTGAAGCAAATCTCAAACAACTTAAAGGTGTCTCTCAGAAGTGCAGAGATATATAGGGTCAGCAGGCAGGTTATGCAATTAACCAGGGGCTGTGGTCCCCTAGCTCATCTTTGCACAATTTTAGTCACTATCCACTGCTTTACAGTTTCTGATCTCATCCAGAGACACAGTCATGACCTTGCTTGGTGCTTCTGTTACCCTTTGTACTTGGCAGCTACAGTAATTCTTCAGATGGACAGAATTAAAGGGGTACCTGTCTAGGTAATTATTTTTGAGACTGTTATTTTCTCATTGCAAGAAAAATACCATTCTTGGTGTCTGCCATTCATGCTTTTTGAAGACCTGCATGGTTAAAATATACGAAGAGAGTCTGACAGCATATCTTCTATCAGCCACCCTGAAACATGAGCATAATATACAGAAGGAAGGTGATTGAGTGAGGGCATTTAGAAGAAAAGGAGCCATGGGTATTTCCTACTGCCTGCAAGGAGGGATAAGAAGGGAGCTCTCTTCAGATGATCATTTAGAAAAGGCTCTTTAGTTTGCAGAAGAGCTCAGCAGAGATTTTATGGAGAACATCTACTCATCATAGGAAAGATGCATATTCCCCCTGATCCTACAGGAATTCAAAAAGACACCACCAGCCACACATTTATTCACAAAATTACTTCTACTGTCCAGCAGAAGCTTCCTGAGGATGGTTAGTTAGTATGAGAGTTGTAGCAAAGGACTCAAACTGAAATCAGAATTGCAGAGATCAGATTTAGACCTGATTTAAATCTCTTGAGCTGACTTCCTTTTCTGAATTTGAAACAGCATTCGCAGAAGTTTTTAAAAAGATGCACTGGCTGATGAGGAAGTTGAATCATAAGTCTTATAAACACAATTTCCTTTTCAATTTAAATCTTTCTAACAGTGTGTCCGTAGGCATCTTTATAATTTATAATCTGCGTATTTACATCTTTATTTAGCATTAATGTATTAGCTAAATATAAAAATTAATTTTCATATATATATAAGGTGATGTGTCCTAACATTGGTTATGTACTACATATGGATAGTACACGTATGTTCTGAATTTTAAATGTATATGCCTTGAATTTTTGAGCTTAGTATTTTTCCACTTTATCCATACCATCACATTTCTTTTCACTATGAAAGCAGTGTGCAAGGACTCAAATGTAAGACTAAACTGCAATCTTAAGAGCAAATATACTATTTGAATTATACAAATGAAACACAATGAATAAAGACAGACCTGGGGAAAAAGACAGAATTCTATGAAGAAAAAAAATGCAGTTATTAAGTACTTTTAAGAGTAGTTCACCCTTGTAAGTAGAATCCCACTTATATGCTCAATTTAATACACTTGCCGTACATATGCACAGATTATAGATTATCTGTTTTATTTTAGTACTTACGTGATTTGAAAATCGTCTGAAGGCCAGGTGAAAGAGGATGTGTGACTCTTTTGGCTGCCTCAAGCACATTTATCAGCTTCAACAAGAGTACACTCTAATTTAGAAAACAAGAAATAACAGCATTAGTTAAAGATACAGAGTTAAATTGGAATAACCACCACTTCCTCCTCACAAGCAACAGCAATAACCTGTTTTTTTATGTAAAGGAAAATGTTGCTGTGCTGAAAACATTCAAGCTGGAGACAAATATGTTATTAATTTACTTATTAGTCTACCTATGTAATTATATTATTTTTAAAATTATCGAGCTAGAATCAGAATCATAATAAGCAGGGTGTTAATTGTCATTGTGCTCAGAAATGTCCTTAATGATGACCTGGTTTTGCAAAGGGTGCACTTAATGTCATGCAGATGAGTAGTTTCAACATCAATCATTTAAATCAATCATTTAAATTTAAATAGAGTAAAACTGTGAAGTGAGACAAGTAATAATTGCCAAATTGACTAGCAGCTGTTTTAGAAGAAAAAAAAATAGTAATCTGTTATATGTCAAGGTGCACGCAACCTAAATGTTTGTCCAGATCTGCTAACACAAAATGTGTAAATGCAGGTAGATAAGTAAAATGTGGTTGCATTTGCCTGTTTGACACAAACATTTGCTGTTCATGTTCACGCTGTTCAAGTATGTTGCTAAAGCTAGCTGAAACTAATTTTAATTTAATTTCACAATTCCTAAATTTTAAAACCTAGAACATTTCTTTTCCAGACCCAGGTTTGAACACAACTTAGATGTTTCCATTAGCAGGAAGGGGAAAAAAAAAAAAAAAAAAAAAAAAAAAAAAAAAGTAAAATAGCATAAATACAGACAGTCTTGTAAAATTCCAAGATACGATTAAATTAATAGAACACTGGACCTAAAGAAATGCAGGATGACAGAAGTTCTGCTCACTCACTTTTTTCCTAAAACAGAGTGTATCACAGGAGCAGTGGCTCCCTACCAGCTTAAGTTTGGTGCTTCTTTGCACTGACCACACCCAGTGAATGGAACAAAAACACTGCCTGGTGTCAAAAGGAGAACTGCTTCATTTAAAGCACCATGTCGTAATGCTTCATAATAATCTAAGCAGGCACATGTCATTTTCTCAATGGCTCATTTTCACAGGATCCAAGACTTCAGCTATTACCAAATACATGTGCATGGAGCAACACAGAGATACCTGAAACCCCTGAAATGAGTCTTGTTTTACCGAAATGTTCATGCATATGTGGTGAAAGCATGTTTTGATTGTTACTGCTGAACAGCAATCTTCACTGTTTGACGCATACAAAGCAAAAAATGGGAAATCTATCTGGGACTCAAATAACTTTAGCAGGGTCACTACAGTATTAATTTGGCCTTGTTATTGCTGTTTGGACTAAACCACTCCCCATCATCACAGATCTGGAGCAGGTTGTGATTAAATCCATAACATAGTTAAGCACTTGAAAACGGTTTTATAAAGTTCAGTAACACAGAGGAAAGAAGATGTGGGAGTTCCAGTGCCGAGACAAGGAGGTGAAGACAGAAGTCCTTGTGAATCTTTCAAGACATCCTTAATCACAACAGAGAAGTACTCTTCACTTTTTAGTTATGATTTTATAACTCATAACAATCCCTATTTTCACAGGTTTTCAGGCCATCCTTTGAACAGTTCCTGAAAGGGGCTTTGACTTTTAACTGCAATTTTGTGCTGGTTTGCTAACTTGGTATTTTCATGTCAAATTGTAATAATGGAAATCTTCTAATTAACTTGAGATGAGGTTTGGAAGGTACTTTCTGGACTTTCTTAGAAAGAAAACACAAGCTTCATTTTGAAATCTTCTGTCCCTCAAGTGCTGCAAGGCACAGTACATTCACTCCTGATAAACTGAGAGTTACTCTCTTTGTAGTAACACAGCTACATATAGCAGCCTCGATCCTGTTTACAGAGAACTCACATTCTGTAAACACTGTCTGTAGAAAACCACAGATTCCTCTTCACAGTCTCTGACAGCTTGAAACAAGGGCTCAAGCCCTGTTAAAAGCAGCAAATTCAGAGTAGGAACACATTCTGTTGCTAATGTAATTTGCTGATATGTCATTGTGGGATATTTCACTGAAGCATTTCTAGTGCTTCTTTTTCATAACTTGGGGAGGGAAGAGGTGGATCTGTGTCTTGCAAAACAAACTTCATTGCACAAAGACAAATGTAACACATGGCAGTCACGTAACCAGCAAATAATGAGAAACAGAAGTATAAAATCCCTCTCCATTACAAATCTGTGACTTCAAATCACCAAGTCTATCATGATTGTAATACATATTCAGACAAGCACTTCTACTTCTAATAACAGCTTCCAACATCTCTCTCAGACAACAACTTACCTTTGGAATATCAAGATTAGGCTATGAAGAAACTGAATATTATCAACATTTTTATGGAATGAGAGTCATCAAAGTACACATCAGATTTTTAATGCTTAATTAAAGATAAATCAGAGGCTAATTCTTCACAAAAACGATTGCTCACCTTGTTCCATAATCAGGTGCTTTCTAATTTAAATGTATCTTGTGCTTTTAGTCTGTAATATATTCAATATCCAGCATAAATAACAATCTTTCAGAAGGTGAAGAATTCACTGTTTGGTGAATTCCAAAATTTCCACAAGGTACGTAGTCCAACTTACCTTTTCAACACAATTTCTTTCAATCAGTCAGCTTTACAGGTGCTTTGTGCTTCACCTTCACACTGTGGCAAGTGGAAAGAGTTGGTTCTTTTCAACACACAGCTATTTGTTAATCTGTATGTTAGCTATTTTTGGTTCATATGTTAGAGCTCTGAAAGGAAATCTGCTCTCACTTAGCTAATATGGTAATTGTGGTTTTCAAATCTTACCACATGTTAGTTTTATGCCACCAGTAATTAAGGAAAGAAAATATTTAAAGATAGGGAAAGCAAAGACATTGTCTGAGTTGTTCCAGAATCCACAAGTTTCTTCTGAAATGACACAGTATGTCACCTTTTTTAATTCTAAAAGAAAGGCAGCATGCAACCCGATGTTCTTCCAACATGATTCCATGTTCCTTCAGTTAAATTTAGATCAGTCTAATCTAATTCAAAAATCTAGCCATCAGCTGAAGTTGTAGTCTCTTCATTATTCTTTTGGACTATAAAATGTAAATTATGTATTTACATTCAAATTGTTTATGTTACCTATTTAATTTTTTCATTATGACCATCCTACATTGTCAGTATATATTTTTTCCTCATTAATTCTATCAAAATTTCCTTCTTTTGTTTGCATCTAGTTTTTTATTTCTCATCAAACATTTTTGCTGGTTTTGGTATTTCTGTTTTTTAGTGTTTTGGTCTCCCTATTTCTTCCTCTTTCTTTGTTCAGCGTTTCTAGATTCCTCTTATTCCCATCGCTTGTTGTCTTTATAATTTCTCTTCAGCATTATATTTTGTAATTCTCCGCACTTCCTTCCCCTTTGATCATTTTTGTTCCCCTTTTACCTCACTCCCATCTGCTTCCATTATCCTCTTGCCAGATGCAGCCCTCCTCTCACATTATGAGGCGACAGTGACTGACATCCATCCCGCACTGACCAGCGTCCAGCAATGTTTTTATCACTTGGTCACCTCTGCCAAACCTGTCAGGGAAGACAGAGCCCTCCTGAAGGCCTTCTATAGGGGTTTTTCCCCACAGGAGCAATTAGGACTCAGGGATGAAATGGATAGCAGTTGTAAACAGAGCACTTGGGAGGGAGCCTGTACAGTCAGTGCTTAGGGCTCGTCTCAGCCCAAGGTATGACTGCATTTGTCAGGCATCACAACCCATCACTTTTCTTCCACCAGTGCACTCGATATTTTTCTTGAAAATGAAGTCAGGCTGAGAAAAAAAATCTGATGGGAAATAATTTGCTGGTCATGGTAAAGATTCAGATGTGATTTCTTATCAGACTAGACATGGAATTTCTGAAGGAGGAGCACAGTCATACTCATAGCACTCCTCTGCTGCACTGCAGCATCACTTCTTAGAACCAGCTGAGCTCATAGCGGGCCTGAGTTCCAGAAAGAAGCATGAAAAGCAGTAAGTGCATCCTCCTGTTGATAATCACTGACTTCAGAGAAGCTGGTTAAACAGATTTTATTCTATTGGAGAAAATGTTGATAAACCAAAGTTATAAATTAAAAATTTTCAGTGTAAAACTTAAAAATACTAGTTTATAAAATGCACCAAGATGCACAGCTGAATTATCATATGCTTATGTTTTTATCCTCTTTTGTAGTCTCATCAATCAGGCTAAGTTTCCCAGCTTTGGACAAAGAAAGTAGGTGGTGAATAATGTCATTCCATGGTCTAAGATCTCACAGAAGTTTAGACATAAAAAGGAATAGAAATCATAAGAAACACCACCTCCCATGAGACATAAAACCAGTCTTTTCCAATTGTCACACTTCAATTTTCCATCAAAATGTTTCTGAGATAGCTAAAGGCATTCTGAAAGAAAAATCTGGTTTATTGAAATAATGGGGTTTTTACTTTAAGAAAAAGCTTTTTCTAGATTATGCTGTATTTGGTCTCTTTCTTACTATTCCCTTTTGAGTGCTTATCTTAAAAAGATTTAAGAACCATTTCTGGTAAAAGCATCTTCCCAGGTTATGCCAGAAGTAATGAACCCTAACAATGATAAACACAATAATACAATCCTTGTACTGCCAAGGGCCTATTGAGTGAAGATGTCAGGCACTTTTAATCTCACTTTTTAACCTTTTCAACACAAAATAAATTATTTTATAGACCAGAAAAGATATGTTTCTTCCTGAAATTCCAAGAAAGAATGTGTACTGCAAGTCACAGTCCCTTATTTAAGGGCTTAAGATCATATTCTTGCTAAAGTGGATGTAAATATTTTAAAAATTAAGTATATCACCTCAAAGAAGACAAAATATTGCAAAATATTTCCAAATAACTGCTTTCTGAAGTCAATGGTCTAGTGAAAGAAAATTCTGCTGATTTTTTTATAAAGCTCTGCCAGTGTTTTCATTAGGCTGTGAGGACAAGTATTTCCATGTCAGAAATGTTGCACACATGAGAGAAAGATACAAGCAGAGCTAAGTATGCAGTTGCTGACATAATTCCTTTGTTTCTGATCCTGTAGTCAGATCATACTCATTGTGGTGAAAATTTTTTCATTGTTTCACTCAGTCACACACTCTCTATTTCATGTCTCATTGAAATAACTACCAAAGTAGTTTCTCAGAGCCTGTCATCACTCTGTACCCCCAAGCATTTACATTTTAACCTGAATATGTTGAATTCAGTGACCTGATTTCTTTTTAGACTTGTACTTTCTTCATATGACTGCTTTTTACAAGAGACCCACGCCACTGGAATGCCCCAATCCCATCTCTCCAGCAGCGGGCTTCATAGCCTGAGTGAGAGCTAAAGATAGTTTAAAAGTTGTTTATATACCTAATGCTGCAACTGGATGTGCAGTATGGAAGTTTTAAGGCATCGATAATCCCAGCTCCCATCTAAAGCCACGGATGATGAAATGGAAGAATGATATTTGAATTTGTGTCTGCGCAATATGCAGTCCCTGTGTGGGCTGGATACAGACCAGAGACGACTTCTTTCCTCCTGCGGGGACCAAGTTACAGTGTGTGCCTTTCAGCACGTGAGCTGTGATTTTGCTGATTGCTAAGACAAACTGGAGGTGCTGGCTGGCCACTTCAATGAGACAATGACTCCCTCGTTTTACATCTATGCCACTAACCACATCAATGATCTGAGGCTACCCAGAGAGAAAATGCCACAAGAGATTGCTCTGCAAGGAGGAAAATCTGCTTCCAGGTCTTCTGGACAGGAGGAATTACTGGTCCCATACAGTCATCAATAAGATGCCACTTGTGCAGGCTGGCATAGCAAGGAAGTTGTGTCCTAATCACACATCCTCTCTATGCTCAGATACTAATCAGTGAGACAATTAAACACGTTTAAATAATTTTGCTTTTAACAAGTTTTATATGTTTCAGGCACTTAATTTTCACAGCAGAAGAGTTGCACCATGACCCCTTTAGAGCACTGAGCATAATTATTTATTTCTGTGTGGATTAGGAGGGAAAGGACATGCACAGAGCTGTGTTACGCCAAGCAGATGACAGTGAAAATACTTGCTGACATAGGATCCTCTCAGCTAACACATCTGTCTCAATTCATATTACAGCAGATGTATAACCTTTCACTTCTCTTCTAAGAGTGGGCAGCTGCTGTTATCATTTGATCTCTAGGTCTTCATGCATGAAATAGTTAGAGCTTTGATAACATTGACTTTTCCACTTTGATTTCAGAAGTGGTAAAAAAAAAATTAAAAAAGAAACCAAAGAAGTAATGGGAGGCACATTACTAAATGTTTCCTCACAGGAACAACAAATTGAGAAGGTGAGTTGATTAATTTTGTGCCACAGAGAAAAAGCAAGCATGTGCTTACATCCATTCCTGAGGGATGATGGGTTTGTTTCCTTAAATATAATCTAGACTGCACAAAGACAGGAACTTGCTAATGCTGTGGGACAGGTATGTTAGAGAATCAAGCAGCACAGATAAATCTACTGAAAATATACTGGTGGACAACAGCCTGGAGTGAAAAGCAGTTAGCCCAGTTACTCAGGTATAACTTTCCTGGTGAGACCAGGAGCACAAAGGGACAGTTCTGTAAGGGAATTTCTATCACTCTCCACCTCAAATGGACATGGGAGTGAAAATATAATGAAAGGCTCATGAGATAAGGGCAGGGAGAGAACAGTCACTGATTGCTTCACCTGGGCATCTCTAGAGCTGTTATATCCTCTCATATATTCTTATTCTTCTCTTCTTTATCTGCCATTGCTCTTGTGAAGGATTCCCCTCCCCCCCACCTCTCCCCTTCTTAAATATTTTATCCCAGAGGCTCTGCCACCACTGCTGATAGACTTGACCTTGACCAGCAATGCATCTGTCTTGGAGTGTCTGGCATTGGGTCTGTATGACATGAGAAGCTGTAGCATCCCCCACCCACCTCCACCAAAACATTGCCACACAAACCCAGTATAACTGAGAAAACCAGAAACTTGTTTATGGCTCTTAGCCTTTTCAAGGAAATTTCTTCATCTGCAGCAAAACTTTTTAAGAGGTCTCTCAGTGTATCTTCCTTACCCAGTGCAAAGCTATGCCAGTTCAGGTGGCAGAAGCAGTACAGCAATCAAAGGATCTATTCATCTTTCTCCAAGTTAGATTATTTTTGATGACTGCCCAGGCACCTTGCTCATCTCTTCATGGCATTGTCCCTGCTTGTTGCAGGGGGATGAGACTAGATGACCTTTGAAGGCCTCTTCCAAACCAAACTATTACATGATTTTAGAATTATGTGTTTGTGCTGTGTGGCACAAATGTGTTCTTTACTGAAGGGGAAAGGTATATGTGTTTGGGCATATACCTGTGCCTGCAGGACACACCGGAGAAAGCTGGCAACCCATGGTTCTTTCTCCCCAGGGTGTTTTGGTTGCCTCTACTGCTGAGATTTTGAAAAGTGAACTAGTATTAACCACTCCTCCTTTACTTCATTTTCCTCCCAGTTTGTTGGCTAGGCTTGACAGGCATCTAAATTTGCACTGGTCTATCACTCATCCCCAGTGGGCTCTCACTACTCTGAAGCTTTAGTGCCTGTTCCAGAAAGCAGCACCTAAATGCTAACTGGGACACCCTCTCCAGGATCTGCTGCTGCTCCCCATTGCTGCTCTCTGTGGTCCTGCAGGAACTCCTGGCTCTATCTGCTTCCTCCTGCAAAGATGACCGTCTGACAGATATGTTTCTTTCTCTTGCCCCCAAAATATTCCTTCTGTCCATGTTCAACTGATCTCACCAGTCTGTATTTGGAGTGCGGATCACAACTCAGCTGGCAATATTTGGGACAGCATTCTTGTTCTTTCACTGCTTCACAGGCACAATATTCCTTTTGCTATTTCCAAGCTCAGTTTCTTCCAAAACACTTCTAACCTGAACCATTGCTACCTGAAATGCTGAAGTGAGACCTGGCCCAGCTAGACATTTCCTTCTACCTGCTGTCGGTTGTAGGGGCAGAGCTGCTGCTCCTCTGCACTTTTTGTACGTTTGTCTCAAGCACACCTGCTCCCTGTTCAATCCAGAGTGCCAGGACTAAGTGTCTTGACTCTCAAGGCACACACCGCAAGAACCATTTACCAGACAACCTTAGTATCAATATACAAAACTGGAATCCAGGAAGGCTCCTCAAAGCAGTGTTGGTTACATAAGGGTTATGTGATCTGGTCCTTGACTTCTCAACATTAGTGTGAAGGCACAGGGTTAACACACCCACAGCTAAGCACTGCACTGCATCTAACACTGCAGCACTGACTCTTCAGCCCCTCCTGAGCCAGGGAAGGCCTCACACTAGTGAGGTGTTTAGATCTGAATGCCTACTTCTAAATGCATGGATAATCTCAAAGGTGTTTTCCAGTCTGGCTTTTAAATGATAGGTGGGCCAACATGTCAGCTGCCACAGACACTTTCTCCTGGGCTCTGGCACCTGCCTTTCTCTCCTAGTTTCTGTCTTAGTTTGGCAAAACAAAAGTGTTCATTCTCTTTCTTTGTTGTTTTATGCTGTGTTTTGTTGGTTTGTTGTTTGGGATTTTTTGAGTGAGGAATTTCCCCATGTTTAGCAAACCAAATCTCTCTGGGATCAGCCAAAAGCCAACAAGAGGAGCCCAGACTTTGATCCTAAATATTGCTGGGTCTTGCTTAACTCTCTCCTCCCTGTGCTTGTGGAACAAGGGTTCTTGGTGAGAACTGTCACTCCTATCTGCAACCAAGAGGGAACCACGTGGATGAAGTTTGTCCACACTAACCCACAGTGACATGTAAAGTCTGGAAAGGGTCCCCTAATCTTCACACTGATTATGGAGAGAAAATGATGTCTTCCTGACAGGACATGATGTGTCACATGTGCTAGTCATGCCTGGGTCACCCTGCTGTAGAAGGCACAGAGCAGCCCATCCTTCAGGAAGACCAACAGAAAGAGAATTCTGTTACGCTGGCATCAAGACTGGAATCCACTGCCAAACCATGTCTCTGAGGATATGTTCATCGCCCAGCTCCACAGTAGGGTGTGTTCCTCGTGTCCAAGTTCACACAGCAGCCTACTGTCAGCCAGGGTGCATCCAGGGGGATATTTTCCTTTTTCCTTTTTGACATACATAAGTGTTACATGATGCAAATTTTACTTAGTGTTTTTTGTGAGGATGAAGGGAAAATATGCTTCTCTGTCATTGGGGTTTCAGCCTTCATGGCTAGAAAAGAGAAAGGTGTTGTGCCACAGCAAATGTAGACAGCAGGAACAGAGGTGTTTGTTCTACAACAAATGCTGCCAGACCTGTCTGACCAACCTGATCCACACCACCTCTGGCTTTAGGCTTCTGTCCTTCTCAAAGGATCCTTCCCGTTAATACTTCAGTGGGGTTAAAACAGGCAAGCAGCTTTCACTAATATGGGATTTTTGCTACACTTTTCCCAGTGATTTTAGGAGATGAGCACCCTGCCTCAGCTGTGCCAGAGAAAGGGATGGACTCCTATTTATTGAGCTCAGTCAGAAGGTTCCTGGATATCCTTGCGTGATAATCCTGTGGTCTCTTAAAGAATCTAATACAAACAAATACAGCAAAAATGCTTGCACTGTGATGCCTCACTGAGTTGTATTACTGAAGAGAAACTACGAAAGAAGCTGCACTGTAATTACTAGATTTGTGTTCTCTGCTGTTCAGATGCTACTGCCTGATAGCCTTGGGTGACACCTCAGAATTCTGAAGTTACCTCAGCTCTACAGAAGTGGAACCAATAGCAGGATTAATGTCTCAAACCCCAGAATCTTGGTAAGATATGGTATTGTAACAGTAATTTGTAATTTCCTTATCATCTCACCAGCTGCAAAGTTTCAGTACTTAGGTAGACATTTATTAGTGCAAGAGGCTGGTAAGAGTGCAAGAGAGTAAGAGAGAGGCCATGCCAGCAACTGGAGAGAAGCCCTTCAACACAAAATGAAGCTCTCAAATGAAGCCACTTTGCCTGGGTAAGTGAAATGGAATGTGAGACTGGTCCAGTGTGAGACAAGAGGTGTGTGGGAAGAGTCAGTATTTTGTAACTCTTCCTGAAGGCTTTTTTACTATTTTCTTTACATTCATTTTCCTTTTCTATTACTGCTGAATGAGTGCACCAAGACTGTTAAAGGCAAGACAGATAGAGTGGAAGATTTTTACAAGCAGCAGGAGATATGTGGTTAAAAGTTATTTTGAGCTTCTGCTGAGGAAGATGCCTCCTTACTGAAGGTAGCACAAGGCTTTATTTTTAAAAGCTTCCCTCTGATTACAAGTTCATTAAAAAGCTGCTGTTTGAATAAAGAAGAAATAAACTGCTAGAGTTCAATTTTCTATAACCCATGAACAAAGGGTGCTTTTTTTGGAGAGGGCTTAAGAGAATTTTTAATGTAGTTGAAATCTTATTATTCTAATAATTAAAAAATACCAGAATCATTGGAAAATACTGGACTTGTATCTTTTAACAGTCATATACACAAAGATTTATGATTACTTACAACTTTATCTTGTTTTATCTGAAGTGACAACATCCTACTCTGAAAGTCTTTCATCTTCCCTCTTTCTGCACTCCTGCAGGGCCCAGGGTGGTTTTCAGTACTGTACTGTGTTAGAGTACAGTAGCATCCGAGTCACAGCGAGACTTTGAAGCTGTTGTCAACAGCAGCTTTTTCATGGGCCCGTTGCCAGCCTGCTCTCCCAAGAAGGAGCTCTTCTGTCCCTATACCACCCCAATGCTCTGAACCTCAGACTGAAGCACAGCACCTGCACGAGGGCACTTAAGCACATTTCTGGCATGCCCAATTCTGTCCTACAGCCCCTCCTGAAAGTTCAGCCTCTCAGTGTACCTGGTTCCAGAATCTCTTCTCAGTTGCACTTTTGGTGGTACTTTAAAACTGCTGTGTACAGCAGCTTTAATGTACAGTGCAACTTTCATTGTCAAAATCTTCAGGAGCTATACAGTGTTCCTAAGGGGAAAACCAAATCTGCTTGATCTGAAGGCAATCCAAGGGTTTTCCTCCAGTTCCCTGGAAGACCAGCAGAAATATTAGTGAGGCCCCCGACCCATATGCAGAACTATGTTGAATTGTCTTTACTCACATCAAGAGCCTGTTGTATCTTTCTCCCCTCTGACTTGCTCTAACAGCTCAGATCAACACCAGAGCGGGTTTTGTTTCCTTCTGAGCAACAGCGATGCCATCTCCTCAGACCCCAATCAGTCACAGGATTTTTAAAGTAACCATCTTGTTGCTGTGCTGTGCTTAGAGCAGCACAGTTCCCAGTTTGACAGGCTTCACGACTAATGAAAGCAGAGGGCTCTTACTGAGATCAGAGGTTACTACCTTTTCACAAACCATCAAACTACTGGGAAGGAAGAAAAGCTCAACTTCTTGCAACCACAGTGCAAATCTGGAAGTGAGGAATGTTCTTCACTACAGAGCTGGAGTGTGTGCCTCACCAGGACTTCAGTACTGGTCCCACACTGCCTCACCAATGCCCATTCCAACCCCAAATACTCAGGAGAGGATCCTCAAGTGTACTTCATCCCCCTCCTTTCGTGCCTGAGACTAGATCTAATTTGTGCTTGTGTAGTTTTATCTGTAAATGCAGTTTTCTGCAGGTAGATATTAAAACTAGTCCATAAGACAGATCAGTGTCCCTGCATTTATTCACTTCAGTAGGTTTAACATAACAATATTAAATTCTACTTCCCAGTGCAACTTTGTGCACAGAGAAGACACTGCCCCTTCCCAGACAAATGGTCAGTGGGGGCCTTCCTTGCAGCACCTTGCACTGGTAGGCAATACCTGTGACAAAGTGGCAACATTTCGGTTTTCCCCAAAGTGTTGGCAAATTCTACACTCCTAAGACTTTTCTGCAGTGCCACATCTTGTGATGCAGCCTTAAATTATATTAAATATCATATTTACTAAAAATAAAGCACACAGTTCACTAACAGTCATTCCAAGTAATTGTGTGCCCCAGGCTGGTAGCTAACAACAGACTGCTGTGGTTTCAGATTAAACTCTCCTTAAACCAGGAGAGGAAAGGGGCAGCCATTCTCGAGAAAGAAATCTGTCTTTAGCTATGTGATTAGCTTGTTATGGCTCAACTTCTGCTCTCCTATACTGTTAGAACCAAGGAGAGAGAAAATAAACTCCAAGCAATTAGGTTTGATTGACTTGAATGATCTCTTTTATGTTCTTTCCTGTTTAAAGTTTGTTTCAATTCCCCTCCCTAACCCCTCAAGGACGAGAGGCTCAAGTAAATGTAAAATTATTCATTAGCAGAATTTGACTCTACCACACAGAAAAAAACCAAAAAAAAAAAACCCCAACAGGTAATCAGTGTAAAAAAAACAGTAGTGACAAGGAAATGTTTAGATGCTATTTATTTTCAAAGACCACACAATTGGACAGTGTTCTGTTTGCTTCCCATGACAAACAGATTCTTTTATTATATAACAGCATGAGTCAGGATGCATACATTTTAAAAAAATTCTAATTGCATTGAGAGATGAGTAAAAGAAAAAGGCTGTTCTGCAAGATTTCCTGTTCCGTGATGCATGGGCAATTGGCCTACATTTGTGACCCCATTTTTCTTTCGGGTCTGAAGCTGTACTGCACAGACCCAACCCTTTGCTTCAAAGTCTGAAGGAGCAGGAATGGCCAGTGCTGGGTCCAGACTGAGTTGCACTGCTCTCTAAGCTACATGATTTCTAGCTTCTACATGGCTCTAAGCCTGAAGCAGACCTTAAGTGCCGCTCTTCAGCAAAGGAAGACATAGAAAGAGACAAACAGCCTCTTCCCTCGGGCACCTCTGTGACTCACACTCGAGCCGGAGCCCCAGGTGGGGTGGGACCGTGGTGGGGAACAGCACTGATTCCTGCGCTGTGGCCACAGGAAGAGAACCTCTGTGGCGCTGCTCCCACCATCGACACGGACAGGAGAGTCACTGCCCTAAAAATCATGCGTTTCACAGGCTCTTTACGTGGCTTGTACTGCTAGAGCTGTAACATTACGAGGTATTTCTGTGACAAAAAACCTTAGGGCAAAGCTGTGAGATCATGTATGTCATCTATATGAGCTGCTACAGCCACGCATCTCCTAAGCTTTTCCCAATGTTCTAGCTCATTCCCTACAGCACCAGGGCCCTGCCCAAACTAAGGTCCACCTTCTGAATTTTTGTTTACAAATGGGATTATGACTTCCTGGCTCAAAACCAGAGTGCTCCTCATGGTTAATCTCTAATATGATGCAGTCATTTCTTAGATTTTTAAATTTTTTAACTCAGTCCTTGCACCTGCTTCTCCCTGCTCTAAACTGCCCAGCTTGGTATCTGCTTCACCATCAAGAACACATCCACATGCCTCAGGGAATGGAGCATAGCCACAGTTAACCTTTTTCAGTGCAAAGGGAGTTTCCTGCACCAAGCCATAGCTCTTGTGTGGCTACCAGCATTCTTACTGTGCCAAACAATTTTACATAAATTGCTCTCTGCTACCACCCATTGCCTTCTCAGCTTCATTGTTCATTGGGTTAGTCTCAATTCATGTGCATGTGCTTGATTTAATTTTCTTTGTACAAGCTTGATTGACTTGGGTTCTTTCAAAGTAGTACTTGCCACTGATTTCTGCATACATTGTTGCATCTCTCTGGGTTCCTTTGTATTTTTCCACAGTTTATCTTAATACATTTTGATATTTAGTGCAAAAGAATGCATGTAAAAAATCAGTGCAGAAGAGCTCCTATGCATTATCATCACATTAGTATATCCTAATCTCTCTTCCCAGGCTGGACGAGACCTATAGCCCCAATGCATTCATTTGATTGGCACTTCCAACTCCTTCAAATCTAGTGCCATCAAATTAGCACACATTCATTGAAACCAGAAACTCATGAAAGTATTCATTAATTTTCTCTTTCATGGAAGAAGACCACGAGAATTTGTCCTCTTTGTCTCTGAGATCATCAGCACATCTGTGACTGCACCTTAGAGACCTGCGCTGCCAAAACTTGCTCAAAATTCAAACCTTCATGTACAGTCAATAGTTTCTGTTAAGGTGCCAAATTTCAAATTTCAGAAGGGCTTAATTAACATTAGTCTATTGAGTGAATGAACTGACAAACACCAGGTTTGCAGTGCTACAGTTAACAATAGCTGGTGTATGTTGTGTTGATTTTTAATGACAGTGCCTAGCACTTAAAACTTATTCCATAAGAATTACTTTAAATTTCATATTTCTCCCATGATATGCTTTAAATTATGACGTTTAAGTGCACGTAATTCTCACCTCCAGGACATCTCTGGTCTTTGAAACCCAGAACTTATATTTTGTTAAGTTCATCTTGGCTTGCTTGGAATGCTTTGAACTGCTTATCTTTCGATTTTATCAGTTTCTTTTTAATGAACAGAGCACAAACCTCTTATTTTGCAGTTCAAAGGAGATGAAGAAAACATCAGTCAGGATGTCAGATACTTAACACCATAAAGATGCTTTTCTTAAAAAGGCTGCCAAAATAATTTTGTAAAATCCAATCTCTGTCACATGTTTCTAGGTAGCCAAGTATCACATTGATTTCAAGGAAATGTGTGCTTTTAGATTCTGCCTAAATTAATCCCTAATTTATCCACATGCCAGTATTACTTAGACAATTTTAAGCATTTTATTCATGTTTAGAAAGAACTGGAAAGAATTTTTAGCGAGAGCAGACAGTGCCATGAGGGGTAGGCACAGCCAGACACACTGCTGAGCAGCAGCCTGTTTGCCCACAACTGTCCCCTTCCCTTTCTGCCCACGCTTGTTACTCCAAATCACCATGACCCCTCCCTTTCTCCCCTTTTGTTTCTGGCTCTAAATATCCCAGAACAGATTTTATGCAACTCCCAAACAGTCTGCTCCAACATACCATCAGCCCGTGCATCTGTAGGTCACTAAACCCATGAGGTGACCCAAGGGCTTGCCTGGGGGCATCTCTCCTGAGATTACCCAGGAAAGAAGGCAAGAAGGTTCAGCTTCAAGAGCTCCAGTTCAGTATTGGGCTTCCCCTTGCCCTTGTTCCTCTGTGCTTATAAGAGCTGAGCCTTAATCCCAACCCAACATTCCACCAAGATCCAAAGCAGGTGGGCTGCACTGCCACCTCTCTTCACACGGTGTGTCCCAGCCTGGTTCAGGTCCTGCATGGGCAGCACTCCCCGTGCAGAGGCTTGCTGCCACTGCGGGTTCTGAGGGCTTGCTGATGTGGGTGACTCCAGCGTGCTGAGCCACACAGCCCCACACCTCAGGAGATGAGCTGCCAGTGGCAGATGCACCTGCACAAGTTAACTCTTTCCTTTGGCCTGCTTTCCATTTGTGGAGCTGAGATTTTAATCACATAACCTAAAACAAACCAGAATTACATGTCTGAAACATGATGAGAACATCAGTTTAAAAGAAATTCTGCCATAATCACCTGAGCCAAAAATGCATCTGGAAACACTGCTCTGCCATATGCCAGCCTTTTCCCAACAGTTCCCCTTGCAGCATGGCCTGAAGGGCACCTGCCAGCCAAAACAGACCATGTTGTGAGCACAAGGTGAAAACTTTTCCATTTCAGAGAAAAAAAAAGCTGAAGCAGTTTCTTCCTAAGAAAGTGTATGTGATACTTTTACAGGGGAACAGGGCAAATGACCTGATTTTACTACCTTGCATCTGTTGTGGTTTCCACAAAGCACGGAGCAATTCAAACAAAACACTTAAAGCTGCTAAGAAACTGAAAAACAACTTCTAGAAACCTTATGCTTTGTTTTTAAACTTAGCTGCAGTTATTCACACAGCACTATTTGATTATGCTCCAAGTCCATGTTTCCTAAAAGATTTCTTCAAGGACATAAGATTTAAA